CTCCCTTGGATTGAGACCGTTTCACTCATGTTTGTCCTCATAGTCATGTGGAAACCTATTAATCCATGTTTGGGTAAGTATGGGTCCATCTAGTTCATCTTATACACTACAAGTGAGTTTCCACAATGTGGAGTCACAGAGGTACATTTCGGACTCCTTACCTCTTCCGGTTCCCAAATTTGGTCCATTTGATGTTCCTCCCTTGGATTGAGACCGTTTCACTCATGTTTGTCCTCATAGTCATGTGTAGAACCTATTAATCCATGTTTGGGTAAGTATGGGTCCATCTAGTTCATCTTATACACTACAAGTGAGTTTCCACAATGTGGAGTCACAGAGGTACATTTCGGACTCCTTACCTCTTCCGGTTCCCAAATTGGTCCATTTGATGTTCCTCCCTTGGATTGAGACCGTTTCACTCATGTTTGTCCTCATAGTCATGTGGAGAACCTATTAATCCATGTTTGGGTAAGTATGGGTCCATCTAGTTCATCTTATACACTACAAGTGAGTTTCCACAATGTGGAGTCACAGAGGTACATTTCGGACTCCTTACCTCTTCCGGTTCCCAAATTAGGTCCATTTGATGTTCCTCCCTTGGATTGAGACCGTTTCACTCATGTTTGTCCTCATAGTCATGTGTAGAACCTATTAATCCATGTTTGGGTAAGTATGGGTCCATCTAGTTCATCTTATACACTACAAGTGAGTTTCCACAATGTGGAGTCACAGAGGTACATTTCGGACTCCTTACCTCTTCCGGTTCCCAAATTTGGTCCATTTGATGTTCCTCCCTTGGATTGAGACCGTTTCACTCATGTTTGTCCTCATAGTCATGTGTAGAACCTATTAATCCATGTTTGGGTAAGTATGGGTCCATCTAGTTCATCTTATACACTACAAGTGAGTTTCCACAATGTGGAGTCACAGAGGTACATTTCGGACTCCTTACCTCTTCCGGTTCCCAAATTTGGTCCATTTGATGTTCCTCCCTTGGATTGAGACCGTTTCACTCATGTTTGTCCTCATAGTCATGTGTAGAACCTATTAATCCATGTTTGGGTAAGTATGGGTCCATCTAGTTCATCTTATACACTACAAGTGAGTTTCCACAATGTGGAGTCACAGAGGTACATTTCGGACTCCTTACCTCTTCCGGTTCCCAAATTTGGTCCATTTGATGTTCCTCCCTTGGATTGAGACCGTTTCACTCATGTTTGTCCTCATAGTCATGTGTAGAACCTATTAATCCATGTTTGGGTAAGTATGGGTCCATCTAGTTCATCTTATACACTACAAGTGAGTTTCCACAATGTGGAGTCACAGAGGTACATTTCGGACTCCTTACCTCTTCCGGTTCCCAAATTAGGTCCATTTGATGTTCCTCCCTTGGATTGAGACCGTTTCACTCATGTTTGTCCTCATAGTCATGTGTAGAACCTATTAATCCATGTTTGGGTAAGTATGGGTCCATCTAGTTCATCTTATACACTACAAGTGAGTTTCCACAATGTGGAGTCACAGAGGTACATTTCGGACTCCTTACCTCTTCCGGTTCCCAAATTTGGTCCATTTGATGTTCCTCCCTTGGATTGAGACCGTTTCACTCATGTTTGTCCTCATAGTCATGTGTAGAACCTATTAATCCATGTTTGGGTAAGTATGGGTCCATCTAGTTCATCTTATACACTACAAGTGAGTTTCCACAATGTGGAGTCACAGAGGTACATTTCGGACTCCTTACCTCTTCCGGTTCCCAAATTAGGTCCATTTGATGTTCCTCCCTTGGATTGAGACCGTTTCACTCATGTTTGTCCTCATAGTCATGTGTAGAACCTATTAATCCATGTTTGGGTAAGTATGGGTCCATCTAGTTCATCTTATACACTACAAGTGAGTTTCCACAATGTGGAGTCACAGAGGTACATTTCGGACTCCTTACCTCTTCCGGTTCCCAAATTAGGTCCATTTGATGTTCCTCCCTTGGATTGAGACCGTTTCACTCATGTTTGTCCTCATAGTCATGTGTAGAACCTATTAATCCATGTTTGGGTAAGTATGGGTCCATCTAGTTCATCTTATACACTACAAGTGAGTTTCCACAATGTGGAGTCACAGAGGTACATTTCGGACTCCTTACCTCTTCCGGTTCCCAAATTAGGTCCATTTGATGTTCCTCCCTTGGATTGAGACCGTTTCACTCATGTTTGTCCTCATAGTCATGTGTAGAACCTATTAATCCATGTTTGGGTAAGTATGGGTCCATCTAGTTCATCTTATACACTACAAGTGAGTTTCCACAATGTGGAGTCACAGAGGTACATTTCGGACTCCTTACCTCTTCCGGTTCCCAAATTAGGTCCATTTGATGTTCCTCCCTTGGATTGAGACCGTTTCACTCATGTTTGTCCTCATAGTCATGTGTAGAACCTATTAATCCATGTTTGGGTAAGTATGGGTCCATCTAGTTCATCTTATACACTACAAGTGAGTTTCCACAATGTGGAGTCACAGAGGTACATTTCGGACTCCTTACCTCTTCCGGTTCCCAAATTTGGTCCATTTGATGTTCCTCCCTTGGATTGAGACCGTTTCACTCATGTTTGTCCTCATAGTCATGTGTAGAACCTATTAATCCATGTTTGGGTAAGTATGGGTCCATCTAGTTCATCTTATACACTACAAGTGAGTTTCCACAATGTGGAGTCACAGAGGTACATTTCGGACTCCTTACCTCTTCCGGTTCCCAAATTAGGTCCATTTGATGTTCCTCCCTTGGATTGAGACCGTTTCACTCATGTTTGTCCTCATAGTCATGTGTAGAACCTATTAATCCATGTTTGGGTAAGTATGGGTCCATCTAGTTCATCTTATACACTACAAGTGAGTTTCCACAATGTGGAGTCACAGAGGTACATTTCGGACTCCTTACCTCTTCCGGTTCCCAAATTTGGTCCATTTGATGTTCCTCCCTTGGATTGAGACCGTTTCACTCATGTTTGTCCTCATAGTCATGTGTAGAACCTATTAATCCATGTTTGGGTAAGTATGGGTCCATCTAGTTCATCTTATACACTACAAGTGAGTTTCCACAATGTGGAGTCACAGAGGTACATTTCGGACTCCTTACCTCTTCCGGTTCCCAAATTAGGTCCATTTGATGTTCCTCCCTTGGATTGAGACCGTTTCACTCATGTTTGTCCTCATAGTCATGTGTAGAACCTATTAATCCATGTTTGGGTAAGTATGGGTCCATCTAGTTCATCTTATACACTACAAGTGAGTTTCCACAATGTGGAGTCACAGAGGTACATTTCGGACTCCTTACCTCTTCCGGTTCCCAAATTAGGTCCATTTGATGTTCCTCCCTTGGATTGAGACCGTTTCACTCATGTTTGTCCTCATAGTCATGTGTAGAACCTATTAATCCATGTTTGGGTAAGTATGGGTCCATCTAGTTCATCTTATACACTACAAGTGAGTTTCCACAATGTGGAGTCACAGAGGTACATTTCGGACTCCTTACCTCTTCCGGTTCCCAAATTAGGTCCATTTGATGTTCCTCCCTTGGATTGAGACCGTTTCACTCATGTTTGTCCTCATAGTCATGTGTAGAACCTATTAATCCATGTTTGGGTAAGTATGGGTCCATCTAGTTCATCTTATACACTACAAGTGAGTTTCCACAATGTGGAGTCACAGAGGTACATTTCGGACTCCTTACCTCTTCCGGTTCCCAAATTAGGTCCATTTGATGTTCCTCCCTTGGATTGAGACCGTTTCACTCATGTTTGTCCTCATATGTCCAGAATTGAATATTGGAGGTACATGTTTATTCATGAACATATAATAGGCATTAAATAATAAAAATTCGGCATTATAGGCCGATGGAAAGAATCCGTAGATACATACAGACAAATTATTTCCTTTTCATCTTATTCTAGAAAAATCCAACTAAAGCTACCTATTTATTAAATCATATAAAAACATTTTGTTTTTGTCATATATAATAAATAAAAATAAATATCTCTAATACTCGGGAAAAAGAAAAAAGATAGAAAGAGAAAAAACCATTTTCATCATCTTCGTCTCCTCTATCATCTCTCTACCAAATCTGGCAGAGAAAAACAAAAAAACTGAAGAAGATAAACGAGATTGAAGCTTATAATAGAGGAACGACTCGGTTTTATTTATGATGGATAAGAGCTGTAACTCGTCCGGAGCCTCCGGAGATTCCTCCGCCGTATCCGCTTCCGCCTCCGTGACGAGTAGTACCGGCAACAACAATACAGGGAACAGAGATCATTACCTGAGACAACTCAATAAGCTCTCTCATAAGATATCCAAACCGACGGCAAACTCTTCCTCTGCCGCCTCCGCCGTGAATCGAGAATTTGATCACCAATCATTTCTTCCTCCTCCTCCGCTGCCGCCGCTTAATCAGGGGAATCTCCATCAGCATCAGCCTCCGGTCTACAACATCAACAAAAACGATTTCAGGGATGTGGTTCAGAAACTGACCGGCTCTCCTGCGCATGAACGGATCTCTGCTCCGCCGCAGCAGCCGATTCACCAGCCTAAGCCTCAACAGAGCTCGCGTCTACACAGGATCCGTCCTCCTCCGTTGGCTCACGTTATCAATCGCCCTCCTAGTTTGCTAAATGACGCTCTTATCCCTCCAGGTGCTCATCATCATCATAACTGGACCGGCGGATTTGTTCCCCGACCGACTGCGCCGCTTTCTCCTCTCCCACCGCTACCTCCGGTTCACGCGGCGGCGGAATCGCCGGTCTCTTCTTACATGCGTTACCTTCAGAACTCGATGTTCGCGATCGATTCGAATCGGAAAGAGTTCTCTGGTTTATCGCCGTTAGCTCCTCTGGTCTCACCTCGCTGGTTCCAGCAACAGCAGGAAAACGCTCCTCCGCCGCAAAACAACGGTCTGCCTCCACAACCTCCTCACCCTCCCGCGGCTACGGGAACAGTCTCTCAGACGGCGCCGACATCGATTCCGGCTCCTCCACCATTCGGATGTCTAAATTCGCCCAAATCCCCGTACGGATTACTCTCTCCGAGCATACTTTTATCGCCGACGTCAGGTCAATTAGGGTTTCCGGTATCTCCGACGACGGTGCCGCTTTCTAGTCCTAAATACAAAGGTCATTGATCGGTCAAAGTTTGAGAACGTCGTCGTTTGACCGTCACGACGGAAATTCACTTTGTTCTTTTTGTACATCATTAGTGGTGGATGATTTGTTCGTTTTTTTCAAAACTCAAATTACTCAAATCTTTTTACTTTCTTTTGTTCCATGGTTTGTTCATGTTAGAAACAAAAATTAGGAAAAAGAAAGGAATACACTTTTGCAAATTGCAACTCTATTTGATTTCTTACAAGTTTGTTAGATCAAATTCCATACAGTTGATCGTCTATTCAACTGGATATTTAATCATTTGATTGATTCGTTCGTTGGCAAATGGTATTGGATAGGGATGCCAATCACTTCACTGTTGCTTTGGTTGAATTTTTGCTCTGATGCTTTCATTTTCCGTTGAAACTTCAACCCTGACAAGATCATTTTTGAGTTTCTCTTTTCCCTTTATTTTTATACATGCAATTCCACTAACGAGTGTGTATAGTTTATTGGTTCTTTTGAAAGGTATCTTCTAATTCAGTTTGATAATTGGTTTCAGATAAAGTAATTCGCTTTACACAATCCAATAAACTAATTCTCCATTTTTATAAAACTGAAAACAATTTACGCCACAAGATAAGAGCCTTTATGATTTTCAAATTGATGAGAAAACACAAAGCAAGGTTCGACTGCAGACACTTATCGATAACCAAAAAAAAGGTTGAACAAAAAAGAGAGAGACAATCAAGCAAAAGAGAGATGATAGATGGTTCGACTTTGCCAGAAATATGATGAATGAATAAGCAAGCTTGACATATAGACGAAGTAGAGAAACCCTAGAAACTAGCAGGCTCACACTCAAAAGACTGTTACTGCTGTTCCTCAGTCGGCTTTGGAGCTGCTGCTTCCTTGATCTCCTCCGCAGCATCATCCTAATTTGATCCACCACCAACATAGAATTTAGTTCATGAAACAAATGCAACAATTAGAAGAAAGGATTGTATATGGATCAGACCTGCATGTCAGATGTCCAGAGAGTAAGGTTGTCACGGAGAAGCTGCATGATCAAGGTGCTATCTTTGTACGACTCTTCACCAAGAGTGTCCAGTTCCGCAATCGCTTCATCGAAAGCCTTGATGATACACACAGCAACAACAACAAACACACACAAAAACTACAGTCAAATCCATGTATCTGCAAAGCGTTGAGATGAATAAAACTGATAGCATATAGCAAAGTATGATTTGATCTTATGAGTTTGCTTTCATGAGCTAAGCAAGCCAAAAATGTTGGTTTTGGAGAGTGATAGTGGATTCAAATACCTGTTTGGCGAGGTTGCAAGCACGATCAGGAGAATTGAGGATCTCGTAATAGAACACAGAGAAGTTCAATGCCAAACCCAGACGGATTGGGTGTGTTGGAGCGAGCTCTGCATTCGCAATATCCTGCAAATAGAGAGTCACAATCAATCGTTAACAAAGGCTCAAGATCGAAAACCCAGGCAAGCTCAACATCTTGTACACGACGATTCAAATCCCTAAATCATCCAATCTAATCCCAAATCCTTGATGCAAGTAATTAAGCCTAATGAATCCACAAATCGCAAACAAAATTCCACATAAACTAGATCTGAGATTGTGGATTGTGAAAAGGGAGAAAATCGAAGATTACCTGCGCAGATTTGTAGGCGGAGAGAGTGTGTTCGGCGGCGTCTTTCCTCTCCTGACCAGTCGTGAATTCGGCCAAGTACCTGTGGTAATCGCCCTTCATTTTCAGGTAGAAGACCTTGGAGTCGCCGGAAGCAGCGGCGGGGACGAGTCTGGAGTCGAGCAATTTGAGGATTCCGTCGCAGATTCCGGAGAGCTCCGTCTCGATCTTAGACCTGTACTCTTTGATCGCCGCCACGTGGTCGTCGTTGCCGCGGCTCTCTTCCTTCTGCTCGATCGACGAGATGATACGCCACGAGGCACGACGAGCGCCGATCACGTTTTTGTAAGCGACGGAGAGTAGGTTTCGCTCCTCCACGGTGAGCTCGTCGCCGTCGACGGCGGCGGAGACTTTCTCCATGAACTCCACCATCTCTTCGTACCTCTCCGCTTGCTCCGCGAGCTTGGCCATGTAAACGAACTCCTCACGCGCAGAAGCCATTTCTTCGATAATCGATTCAAAGCAAACAAACAAGAACACAGAGAGAGAGAGAGATCTGAGATTCGATTCGATTCGATCAACAGAAAAAGAGAACGCTTCTTGACGAGTCGATTCCGATAAATGAATGCGTTTTAGAGGAAAAGAGTGAAATTTGGAGACAAGATTTAATATGGGCCGTTGGATTCGTGTGCTCTATCGCGAGAGGTCCTGCTTTTAAAGGGGAAGTTTTCGAGGGCCTATTTGGATTCTTAAAATAAAGAGAAACAAAAAACAAGAAAAATACAGAATCTTGTAATTAAGTAATTAACCACTCTCGATGGCTATATAAAAATTTGAGGTCATTTAAGAAAATCCCTTTCGTGTAATTAAGTAGTTAACCACTACTTGATCGTGTAATTATGCATTTTTGGCCTCACTTATGTAATTATGTAGATTGTGATCAACCAAAGAGTAAAACAAATGGAGTTATACGATTGATATGCAATAATGGAAGCAAGTTGGGTTAGCAAAAAATGGAGACAGCTCAGAGGGACACATGTGTTGTGAGCATGTCAGAGGATCCAAAGGAAAGGACTCTTTCTTCTCCGATTCATTTTTTCACATTTTCGTGGCTGCTCAAAACGTTTTTTTCGAAATTTTAAAACTTCGGTTATGTGTGATTCATTAATTGTCTTCCTTGAAAATATGGAAACATCCAATTAATGCATAGGCGAATTCAACGAGATTTTTGAAATCATTTGGTTCGTTATTATGATGTTGTTATGTTTTAATAATAGATTTAAGTCAAACGTTTTTGGATGCCTCTTCGAAATCATTGATTAGTTTATCAGTTACGCTTTACACGAAAGGGTTATTTTTGTGAGACTATTAAACAAATGAGATTTGCATTTACTTTACAGTTTTTGTCTATCATATCATAAGCATCCAACACTTATCCTTATCCATATGATTATGTTTTCTCATATCTTACGTCTTGGTTAAGTTGTTCTATTTCCATTAGTTATTTTAATATGGCATGATATCGATTGCATGCAACGGTTCTTATATATCCGATGACATTTATATACTTTACTTGGTGATGCTTAATCAGTCCCTCTCGTGGACATGTATTGCATGTTTAAGATTCATAATGAAGACGTGAATATCTAGAAACCAAGCACCCGACACTTCGACAGAGATTGATCAATAGAGAGTTCCTTGTAACAATGATCTTGTATGTTACATATCTATAGTAATGAAGAAGTAAACGTCTAAAATCACTTTATTTTTCTGACGAGGAAATCTTTTTGACGTTTGGCTGACGGTTTATTCGATCGAATTTGAGATATTCACCACCGGCCAGAAAGTGAGGTCCAAATTTAGAGTAATGTCTTTTTGGAAGGGTAGAAATACTAGTTTTATGAAAGTTGTTACTTTGAGTGGACCATCCCAATGAGAAAGTGATGTCCAAATTTAGAGTAATGTATTTTTGGAAGGGTTAAGTTACAAATTTATGAAAATAGTTACTTTCAGTGGGACCAGCCGAATGAGAAAGTGAGGTCTTTTTTTTTTTGAACGACTTTTTCATTAAATGCCCGGACCGGGTTTAACATAAGTTTGGTACAGAGTTAATGTGATTCTTCGCTGCCTTAGCGAGAGAGTCAGCTTTCGAATTCTGGGATCTAGGAATGAAAATGAAAGAGATCGAAACGAAGAGAGAAGCAAGAGCGTTAATGTCGAAAAGAAGACCGTAGATCTCTTTGACAGGCTCCTGTAGTGTTAGGGCTAGGACGAGGTCCTGAGCGTCGGATTTGAGAGTCAGATGGGTGAATCCTTTCTCGAGTGCATTGTTGAGAGCAGATCTGATCGAGATTGCTTCTGCCATGAGGGAGGACGATACATATCTTTCGGCTGATTGTCCTTCTCCTATCTCTGTGCCGGAGCTGTCGAGGAAGATCCATCCTGATCTGGCGATCCCGGAATCGATACTCCAAGCACCGTCTGTGAAGCACGTCACATCGTATTCTCCGATTGCACGTCACATCGTATTCTCCGATTGCATGTGGCTTTTGCTTTCGTAGCCGGGGTTTGGTGGGTTCGATGGCGTATTGGGCATTTTGCCAATCTCTTGCTTCGGTTAGGGCTTTTAGAATAGTGGATTCGGGTGCGAAGGTTCTTTCTTCAAAGATTAGGTAGTTTCGGACTGTCCAAATGGACCAGATAAGCCACGGGAAGATGGGTCCTTGGCTAATTCCTGTGGGTGGGAGGCAGATCATGGCTTTTGAGGTCGCGAGGGTGTTTGTGAAACTGGTCAGCAGGGAGGGGATTATATGAGTTTTGAGAGGGAGAAGTTCCCAAACTCTTTGGGCGAATGGGCAGTGAAGGAATAGATGCTCAGCAGTTTCAAGCTCTCCACACTGTACGCAGCAGGCGTTGTCCGGGATTCCTCTACTTAGGAGGTTGTCTCCAAGTGGTAGAGCTTTTTGGACTATCTTCCACATGAAGACCTTCATCTTTGGGGAGAAATTTCCGTTCCAGATATCGAAATTCCAGCTAATTTGCTCTTGTGGTTGCATCTCTCCAATATCTTTTGCTTCCAAAGCAGTATAGTACCCTGTCTTGACAGTGTACACTCCAGTCTTTGTCGGCAGCTAGATGTAACAATCCTTGCCTCCGCTTCTGCTTGGTCTCAGCTTGAGGATCTCGGGGCAATGTTGAGGTATGACTTCATTGATTTTGTTTTGATCCCAGTCTTGTCCAGAACTTGTTAGGAGGTCAGAGACTACAAGGTTTTGTCTTGATCTCTTGTAGGACCTACTGGACAGGTTGGTGTGGTGAGGCTGAGCCAAGGATCATTCCAAAGCGAGGTAGAGCGTCCATTGCCGATTGCTTTTCCTAGCTTCTGGAGCAGAAGGTCTCTGCCTATAAGGATTCCTCTCCATCTGTGAGATGTTGAGGAGGGAAGGAACACGTTTAAGAAGTGGCGGTCTCTGCAGTATTTTCCTTGGAGAACTCGTGAGAGGAGGCAATTGGGTTGGTTGAGGATTCTCCAGCTCAATTTCGCGAGGAAGGCATCGTTGTAGCTCTGAATGTCTCGGAAGCCTAAACCACCGTCTCGTTTTGATCTGGTAAGTTTATCCCAAGAGAGCCAGCACATTTTCCTTTCTCCTATCTTAGAATCCCACCAGAAACGAGTTAAAGCCGATTGTATTCTCTTGCATAAGCCTGCAGGGAGTTTGAAGCACGACATGGAGTAGGTGGGCATAGCTGACAAGACGGACTTGAGCATAGTCAACTTCCCTGCACTTGAGAGGAATCTGGAGGAGTAGTGGACTGATCGTTGGTGGATGCGGTCTACAATCATAGTGAAGGGGTCTTTTTTCTTTCTTCCAAAGCTTTCTGGTAGGCCAAGGTACTTTCCTTTACCTTCTTCCTTCTCTATTCCTAGAGTGAGTTTGACTCTCTCTTATTTCCGATGGGGTTTTGCTCGAGAAAGTTATAGATGATTTTAGGGGATTGATCATCTGACCTGATGCTTTTTCATACTTTTGGAGGATTGTCATAAGAGATTCACAGCTTTGTTGACTTGTTTTGCAGAAAAACATGGTGGCATCAGCAAAGAGGAGGTGGTTGAGTCGAGGGCTTCCTCTGGATACTCTGATTCCAGGGAGCTTGCCGATATCTTGGGCTTGTCGACATAGGCCAGACAGGACCTCACCGCAGAGGATGAAAATGAAGGGTGACAGGGGGTCTCCCTGTCTTATACCTCGTTGGGGGATGACCGAGCCTTGAGCTGCTCCATTCACCAGAAAAGAGTAGGAAACCATGGAGATACAATGGAGAATCAGATTTATCCATCTTGCGTGAAAGCCAAAGCGCTCCAGTACCGTTGCTATGAAGCTCCACTCCACCCTGTCGTAGGCTTTGCTCATATCAGTCTTCACCGCCATAGAGCAATGCTTCGTTGCTCCTGAGCCTTTGAGGTAATGTAGAACTTCATGTGTGATTAATACATTATCTGAAATTGCTCTTCCCGGAACATAAGCTGTTTGTGTTTCTGAGATGATGGATGGGAGGATTGGTTGGAGTCGCATGATCAAGATTTTGGAGATAATCTTGTAAAAGACGTTGCAAAGAGCGATGGGGCGATATTCTGCAACTGATTTGGGGCTGGGGATCTTCGGTATGAGTCTCACATGGGTTCTGTTGATAGATCTTGGCACTATACCGGAGGTAAATATTTCCTTGATCTCTGTCGTTACTCTCTCTTTGACACTTGACCAGTTTGACTGGAAAAAGCTTGCAGAGAATCCGTCTGGACCGGGGGCTTTGTCGGCATGGATAGAGAAGAGTGCTTCTCTAATTTCCTCCGTGGTCGGGGTCGCAATCAGGGTTTCACTAGTTTCAGGGGAGATGCAGGGGGTTAGAGCGTGAGCCACTATTTCTACGCATTCAGAGGATTTTGTGATGAAGAGATCCTGGAAGTAGGCGTTTATAACTTCAACAATATCTGATTCTTCAAAGACAGGTAAGCCTTCTTTATTCTCTAGAATAGAAAACCGGTTTATAGCTCTTCGGCCTCTAGTAATTGCGTGGAAATACGCCGAGTTTTTGTCTCCCAGGGTTAGCCAAAGGTTTCTACTTCGTTGCCTCCAATATTCCTCTTCTTTCTTGTAGGCTTCTTTTAGCTTCAAGTTGATACTGTCTAGTAGGCTTTAGTCATGTACCGTAGAGCTCATTGCCTTCTCTAGCTTTGCTTTTTCATCTTGAATCGCTTTCTGGCTATTTGTGTGGTGCTTGCGGTTCCACAGGGAGATAGCTGATCGGCATTTAGCTAGCCTCTGCTCCACAGTATCTTCATTTGCTGCATTCCAGGCGTAGTCTACTAACTTAGAGATTTCTTCGTTTGATCTCATGCTTCTATCATACCTGAAGATGCCACGCTTCTTTTTCAGGTTTGGCTCAAGGATCGAGAGCAAAGGACGGTGATCTGATCCTTCAAAGTCTAGGTAGTAGCATCTACTAGAGGGAAATCTCTCAGCCCACATGCTATTTGATAGGGCTCGGTCAAGACGACAATGGACCAGGTGGGTATATCTCATTCCTCTCCACGAGAACGAGTTACCTGAGTGCTGGATATCGTAGAGGTCATTCTGGGAGATGAAAGCTCTGAAGTCGCAGAAGGATCCTTCTGTTCTTGCCGGTCCGCCGTTTTTCTCGCTATTTTCGATGATGTCGTTGAAATCTCCAGTCAGGAACCACGGTTCTTCTCTGGAGAAAGCGAGGTTTGTTATTTCATTCCAGACGTTTCTCCTTTTTGTATGATCGGGTTCTCCGTAAACGAATGTGGCAGCAAAGGTTTTGTTCTTGTAGGAGATTGAAGTATCTATGAAATTGTTGCAGGAGAGGAGGACTTCGAGGTCTATGTCGTTTCTCCAGAAGAGAGCTAATCCTCCGCCTCCGGGGCTGTGTGGTGGAACAAAGAAGCGAGACTCCAAGTTAAGGGATGATAGCAGGTTTGTGATGATATCCTCTGGATTTTTTGTCTCCATTAGGAAAATTATATCTGGAGCGTGCTTCTTTCTTAGCTCCTCGAGTCTGTGAACTGTCATGGAATTCCCCAAACCACAACAGTTCCAGCTCAGAATTGTTAAGCAAGAGGACTTCGCGGAATCCGAAAATCCGCTCTGTCTCTTGACTTCTCAGGGTTTGCTGTGTTTTGCGCAGGGTTTGGTGGCATTGGAGGAGGTGTTGCTGAAGATCTTCCTTCTACTTGTTGTTGTGTTTGTCGGGTGATTGCTCGGTTGTTATGCCTGGTGCCATTGTTGTGTGTACTTGGAGATGCTCTCTGGTAACTTATTTTAGAGAGAGGTGAGATTCGCATCATTGGAAAGCTTTTTTGGTTCTTTGTTTTCCTTCTGCTGGGGCCAGCTGATGTGGATATTTGATTTTTGGTTGGGGGTCGACCTCTTTTCCTCTTGTTGTTGGTTAGGACTAACTCCATCTCTGGTTCTCCAATGGGGTTTAAAGTATCTCCGGCATCGATATTGCCAAAGGGCATTTGCTCCACTTGTCCCGCCTCAGTTGGAGGTATGTAATCAAGCTGTTCAGGCAAGGGATGAGCTTGATTTGAAGGAGCATTGTAGAGGAAAGCAGCTGTTTCTCCTCCCAGTCCCTGTAAATCTCCTTCTAGGACGCGTTTCCTTCTTGCAGCGCTTTCGATTGGGTCTCCACAGTTGATGTAGCGGACATCAATGTCATGCAAGTCTTGGAGAATTTCCTCCTCTGTTTGGATTCTCGGCGGTGGGGTTGGGAAGTCGTCTTGTTCCAGGTTTCTTCCAACCGGAACAGATCTCCTCAGACTTGGGCTATAGTTATCTTCCATAGTCTCCGTTCTTTGAATAACTTTTTCTCTCCAGACGTGGTGTGTAGGTTGACTTCTAGGGGAGCGACGATTTCTTCTATGGGCTTCCTCTGGGGAATCTTTGGAGGATCCGTGCCTTGCACTTCCTGAGTCAGAGTGCCTGAGCGAGTCTCGGCGCTGCCTTTGGTAGGGTGGAGAGGGGTTTGGGTGCCCGCGGTTGTGGCGTGGAGGAAGTCTGTGATGCTCTCTGTGAGAATTCGATCTGGGGGGGGTTTGAGGGTGAGAGCTTTGTCTCGTTGCTGACCGGGTTCCAGAGTTGGCTTCCGTTCTTCTATGAGGCAGGTTAGGGGCGTGGTCCCTGGAGCTAGTAAAGAAGGGCGGTTTCAGGTGGTTTGGTTTTTCTATCTCCCTCTCCTTCTCCTTCTCTTTCTGCAGCCGCAGGGCAGATCTAGGGTTTGTAGGGCACTCCCTTTCTTCATGGGTTAATTTTAGGCAGTAGGTGCAGTGTTTATCAAGCTTGTGGTATTCCAGAGTTACCAGAGCTTTGTAGCCGCCTTCAAACTCCACTATGGCCTCTTTAGTGATGGGGTTTAGGCCGTTGATGTCCACTCGGATTTTTGCTGCAGTAGAGGTAAGTTCAAAGGAATCGAGCGTGCCTAGCTTTTCTCCAATGCTGCGAAGAAGCTCACTCTTCCAGTAGTGTAGTGGGAGGCCTCTGAGGGAGATCCAGAAGGGGATCTGTGACGGGAAGGTCGGAGAGATAATCGGCTTCCATTTCTCGAGGATGAGCATCCAGCGAGAGTATTGGTAGGGGCGGTTTTCCAGGACCTTCTTTAGGTCTTCATCGTAATCAAAGCGGAATTGGAAGCAGCCGTGTCCCAGGTCAGAGCCGGTCACGTTGCCTCGAAGTTCCCATTTGTTGGCAAAGTAGGGAAGCATTGATTTCATTCGTTGTTCTTCAGGGTTGGTGAGACGGCCGATGAGCGTAAGGGCATTCTTTCGGACTAGATCTGAGGTATCCATGGCTGGAGCTCGTATCCGGAGTCGAGGGGGGGAAGGTTCAAAGAGCGCAAGCCCTTTGCCCTTCTCTGCAGAGGTAAACCGTCTTGACATTGTGCAGTTGTCGGTTTAAGAGGAGAAAGGGTACTGAGGAGTGTCTAGAGCGAAGACAAAGGCGAGAAGCTAGGTTTAGGGCTTACCGGCGGGATGAAAGGACCCTCCGACTCTAAGTCGGGGGTTGAACCCGGGTGTGTAAAACCAGGATTCAAAAGATTTTGAAAATACTTTTCAAAGAGGGAAATAGTCTACTGGATAAAAGGATGAGTTGGGAAAGTCAACTGGGGTAAAGACTTTTCTCGACAAAAGTGCCTGAGAGAAAATTAGTTTTTCGGAGAGAATGAGAAAGTGAGGTCCAAGTTGTTGTTTTTAGCGTGTGAACGCTTTCGGACTGCGTCTGTATATCTCTCAGTTTAAATTATCTCCTCTTTTAATTCTCATTAAATCTAAAAACTTGATGTGATCCTCATTCATGAGTCTATCTTGAAAATTTGTAATCATATGGATAACTTACGATGCAAGGTAGATGACAACAAGATATCTTACAATATGTTATGATAGACTGATATAGTTACACAATTAAACTTCTTAAGATCATTTGTTATATATGTAAAAACACTTCTAATTGTATTTAACAATGTCGGTACTAAGGGAATTTTCTTTAGCATATCATGAGAATTAAAAATAATTCATAGGAGGTCGAAATCAACCACATGCAATACAAAACCCCACCACACAACATAAATTTTGTAAATAAAAATAGTATCAAGGCAATTTAAAAATCACAACGTATTTGACACGTGTCAAATTCTCCATCGATCCTTCCTCAGAGAAACAAAACACAAAACGAAGTCAAAAGCAGTGAGTGACTCTGTTCCAAAAGCAAAGCAGGTTCCCAAGAAGATCAAACTCCGAAAATGTGCGATCGATCTTAATCCCTTTTGTGTTATTATTTACATCACTTCCTAAATTTCCGGGTTAAAAATCCTTCCTTTCCCGTATACTTCCAAAAGTTGGTTCCTTTTTGCTTAAGTCATCTCTTATCAATTGGTTCTGCTGTCTTCTGAACAAAAACAGTGGAGCTCTGTCTGGATTCCTCCACTTGCTCTCAGATTCTCTTCATATAAACACACACACGTGTGTCTGAATTCTTCGTCTTTGCTTCTGTCTCAAAACAAGTGATATCGAGAGAACAGAGCAGCTCTGTTTTCACTTTTTGTGTTGGAGAAGATGGAGAGGTATGAGATAGTGAAAGATATTGGGTCTGGTAATTTCGGAGTGGCAAAGCTTGTTCGTGACAAATCGTCAAAGGAGCTTTTCGCTGTTAAGTTCATCGAGAGAGGCCAAAAGGTTGGTCTCTCTTTCTCATCCACTCTCTCTTTTGATATAAGCTAATTAAAATGAATATAATTAATATTAAATTTCTCTGATTTTTTTATATATGAATATAATTAATATTAAATTTCTCTGATTTTTTTAATATGTTGACGTATGTGTGTGATAATAAAGATTGATGAACATGTACAAAGAGAAATCATGAACCACAGGTCTCTCAATCATCCCAATATTATAAGATTCAAGGAGGTATATACAACAATGTGTTGCTCTTTTGTTGACTAAATCTGTATTAATTCTTTATAAAATTGATAATTTTGTGACAAAATAATAGGTTTTATTGACGGCAACACATTTGGCTATAGTAATGGAATACGCCGCCGGAGGAGAACTCTTCGGAAGAATCTGCAACGCCGGAAGATTCAGCGAAGACGAGGTCTCTAATTTACTCTTAAGTATTTAACCATTACTATCTAAATAAACATTGTTTACTATATACATTAAATTCTAAAGATCAAAGTTGTGTGTGTTATTTTTTATGGTTTCAGGCAAGGTTTTTCTTCCAGCAACTTATCTCAGGAGTTAGTTACTGTCATAGTCTTGTAAGAACCACTCAAATTCTTTCACATTTTTATATGTTTTTTCAGAATATTAAATGTGTTTATTTGTTTTGCATGAAAAAAGCAAATTTGCCATAGAGACCTAAAGCTAGAGAACACGTTACTAGATGGAAGTACAGCGCCACGTGTAAAGATATGCGACTTCGGGTACTCAAAATCAGGAGTGCTTCACTCGCAGCCAAAGACAACAGTAGGAACACCAGCTTACATTGCACCTGAAGTCCTTTCCAAGAAAGAATACGATGGCAAAATCGCTGACGTTTGGTCTTGTGGAGTGACTCTGTACGTAATGCTCGTTGGTGCTTACCCTTTCGAAGATCCTTCCGATCCTAAAGATTTCAGGAAAACCATCGGTCGGATTTTGAGGTCTCAGTATTCTATTCCTGATTATGTCAGAGTTTCTGATGATTGCAAACATCTTCTCTCTCGGATATTCGTCGCTAACCCTGAAAAGGTTAAGAAAATGTTCTGTTTTACGTTTCAGATTCTCTGTTTTTGGTTCTGATTAGGTTTGTTTGTGTGATTGTTTGAACAGAGGATAACGATGGAGGAGATAAAGAATCATTCTTGGTTTCTCAAGAACTTGCCGGTGGAGTTGTCGGAAGGATCAGTGAGGGTGAACAATCCGTCTCAGACGGTGGAAGAGGTGGTGTGGGTTATTGAGGAAGCTAGGAAATCAATCACCGGTGCTTCTGGACTCTCTGGGGCTGGTGGCTCCGGTGGAAGCAGTAATGGTGCGATTGGAAGTAGTATGGATCTTGATGACTTGGATGCAGATTATGACGATATCGACACTGGTGATTTCGTTTGCGCTTTGTGAATTTGTGACTATTATTACTGTTTCGCTTGTTTTACAAAAACAGAAAGCAAGAGGTTTCATATTTGTGAAGCTTGTATACACATAAACGTCAACATTGTGTTAATCATTGTTCCACGAAGATTTAATTTTTCTAAACTCAGGATTTGAGTGTGATAGTGAAAAAAAAACATTTATTTACCTTTCTATACAAACTCATGTTAGGCTACTTCTTTGAGGATGCTCCACATTTAGGAAAAGTCTATGCTAGTGTTCATCGTTTTTGGTTGTTGAAAAAGCTTCTAAAATCCAAACGCAGTTCCTCCATCTCAAATTTTTTATGTCATGAAGGAATGCTTAAATTTTTCTTACCGTTCTTTTGTTTATCATTGTTATGACTTGAATGACCCAGAAAAGTTGATGTTTCTTATTACTATTTATGATTTCAATTGTGTAGTATAGATAAATGATATTTCTTATCTTTTAATACACCTTATTTAGATTACATGTTTATATGATGTCAATTTAATTAAAAAATGTGATTGGATGACCTCTTTTATGAACACATAATTAACATAAATTTTTTTTTCAACCTAAAAACCTAGAAATGACGGCGATCAAAAGAGAAGAAACCGATTGAGTCCACGACTGAAGAAGAAGGCTGGGTAAGTATGCTGCTTTATCTTTTCCGATTTCTGTTTCAATCATTTCTAAGTGTGTACCTCTTGGGTGGCTTCATTCTTGTTATTATTTGTAGGTTAAAATCAAAGAAAATCATCAAACACCCATATTGTAATTGGTTTTAACTTGTACTTACTCTTTAGATTATTTTCTTTGAATTGTGTGTAGCCCACATGCACGAAAAGTGAACAGTTCATATGAGTTTACAACCAAAATGTGTGGGGATTGTTGGAGACTCGAACCGTTTGATTGCTAAAGTTAGCTAGTTTGGAATGAACAAGTCCATAGATCTAGAGGAGTCAACCTTCATGTAATTAGACACAAAGAATTAGGATAGGAATGTTACATAGATGATAGTTTATACGTATGACAATAGAAACACAACACACATAAATATTGCTCGTTAACTTGTTCTTTTACAACATGATTTCAGAAGATTTTTTCTTTCACGTAAATATCAGTTTGAATAATAAAAAGGAAAATAAAAGAGAGAGATCAGTAGGTGTTAAGTAGACCCCAAACAGTTTGCTCAATTTGTTCCCATGATTCAGCTGTCCGAAGCTCGTCCCAAATACCGAACATTGCACCCAACACATTATCATCATGTAATATACAGTAACACCTGAAACCAAATCACAGTTATTACAGATCATACAACACAAGAGGCTTAAATTCGAGGCTATCTATTACGTTTATAATAAAAGAGTTTTAATTACTTACATTGTACGGTAGGAAGGAGACAGAACTTTCTTCCTCGTACTGTCTGTTGTTTTTGTCGTTCCGTTCTCCTCCGGCGACTTACTTGTGATTAATGGAAGTCCGTAACTTTCTATAAGCTTCTTGAAAAGATCAGCGTCTCCCCTAAAGACGTCCAAGTATATTGGTATCAAGTCATAAATAGGATCCCCTGCAAGTTCATCAAATCTCTTTCAGTTTCAGAAAACTTGGACTGTAAATTTTGGATATGGTTTGAGTAAAACGTACCAATGGATAAATCGCTGAAGTCAAGAAGATGACTGGGACGCCATGAAGTATGTGGACCCTTGACCGAATCATCATCTGCGTATGGTTCCATGTGAATGTTGTCGTCCATGACATCTGAGTGAATCCAGGTGCAGGGCTTTATCTCGTTTCCAACATCTGTGTCCTATGATCACAGAAAAAGGTTTATGTTAATTCTCAAAACATTGTTCCCATTTTTAAAGAGGGGAGAGAGATGAGAGAAGCAAACCTTGAATACATGGAGCAAATCAACAAAAAACTCATCGGGAATGTATTCGTCTATGTTGTTCATCAGAGCCCGAGGAATCGGATTTCCCCTGTTGGAAACAATCACCCAACAGTGAGCAACAGAGAGTCATATTGGGAAAAACTCCAAGTAAGCGTACCAGTTTTCAAGACGACTAGTGACGTCTTTCTTCTTTTGGGACAGAGCATCGACGAAAACTTTCCATTCTGCTGGAATGTTCAACTCCTCATTAACAGCATTCAAGAGCTCAGGGCGTGTGACTGGTGGATACGGCAGTTGATGAAGGTTGCGTAGTTGTTGTCCCAGAAAGGAAGCCAAGTTTTGAGCGTCACTCCACGTCAGGTCATCTCTTCTGCAACAACAAGTTTCATCAAGTTAGAGATCATGCATTTGGTCATGCCTGCGTAGATTAAAAAGGAGAAAAAGGAGCACTCACAGTTGGGCAAAGATATTCCCTTTGCATCTTTTTGTTATGATATAAGGCCAAACATGTGAACTCAACGATGCGAAAGAATCGGGCGGTGGCTTCCCTTGGCTTCTATGTTCACGTAACGTTTTGTTCCAAATACCAAACGGGAACTCGCTGTTCAACATTGATGCATCGAAATCGAAACTGGAGCTAGTGATAATCTCTGGGATTTTCTTGCCATCCCAAGGGACAACTTTGTAAGATCCTTTCTCCAAGTAGAGAATCCCTGTCGCCAGAACATCAGGGATATGATTCTTCAAAGAAGACTCAGCTCGGCCAAGAATGTCATAAAACTCAAGCTGCATGCACAAAAGAAAAAACAAAGAGTTACAAACTGTAACAAGAGGTGCCTAAACTAAAGTCTACAAAGAGTTACTTGCCTCAGTTCCAAGACCGTACATAGACTGTTCCAACCCTCCTTCGACAAACAGTTTCACCGCATAGTCAGAAAACAGATAAACCTAAACAAGAAAAGACGAGAAGTCAGACCAAATTGATGAAATAATTCGGAAACTTTTGTGTCAAGGTAACTCACAGGATTGCTGCCAGTTCCAACTGGAAGTTTTTCATCTTCTGTAACCGACGGCAAGTTGTGGAAAGTACATACTTCCTCTAAACATCGCAACCATTTCTCAGCATTCAAAGCAATGCATGCTCCCTTAGAGAACCAAAAACAAAGAGAAAGCATTAAGATTTGATGATGGAGAGACAAACTAAAATCTTCAAACAGTAGGAATTACCTTCCATATCAGTTCTCTCATCTCAGGCTTCAGAACCCAAAGCTTTGATAGCCAACCTCTCATTTCTCGTTGACCTACAGAGTTCCCCATAGACCATGGGAAATTGTAATGGTCTCTTTCTTTATCAAGAAACGAAGCCAGGAAATCAATATCATAAGAGAATCCATTCTTCCACATATTGTATCTCTTTGATACTCCGTTAGCATCCTCTTCTTGGTTTTCAGTCTCTCCTCCCTCTCCATTCATCCGTACCCTCTTCTCTTTCCTCGTAAGGTCTGAATAGCTCAAAGTACTGTCGTCCTCATCATCGCCTGTTTCTTCTTCCATCTCTTCAGAGTTTCCGTCATCAAGAGCAAGAAGACCAGCACGGCAAACCCCTTTGTGCTGGTAACCAGGCGCCATATCCAAACAAACGAACTCGAAGTTTTCTTTGTTCACAAAGTTCTGTGTAACAGCCACCGTTGGGTCAAGATTAAGGATACAGTGCCACCAACCACTTGGAACATAAATCGTTTCACCAGGTAATAGCGTGCACTCAATCGGTTTGTCTTCGTCTGCTAGGAGCGGATAATAGTCTAGCCACCACTGTTCATGGATTCGAAAACTATCATTATGATACAGTAATGAAGAATCGAGATGCCAATGCTTGAAATGTTCAGAAACATACCTGCAGAGATGAGGGAGTGTCAATACTAACATCACCATCATCTTCATTTACATGGACTGTAACACCTAGAGGCACTTTTCCTGGGGGATACAATGCCCACCTATACAAAAACATAAGAGACATCACCCTCAGAAGACGGTATCTATCACTCAGAACAACTAGATAGTTAAGTACACTAATGCTTACCTTTTCCGACCGCAAAGCAGGGTGTTCCAGGCGCTTGTAAGAGCTGGATCGATATGCCAAGATGCACCAGACCTCTCCGGACCAACTATAAGCCATCTGTACGGCGGACGGTTTTCTTTGTCCAAGAACTCAAACCAATCTTCTTGAAACAAATGAGGCACACTATAGTCTTTCAGTAATTCAGGAGCAGCCTCTCCAAACTACATGAAATGTTGAGTCCTTAAAGTATTGCTTTTGCTGCATTTCAAGTTTAAATATAAAATTACAAATCAATATCCATTACCCTGTCATCGAAAACGTATAGAGGATCTTCATCCCGCTGGAGTTTCATATAGGAGATGTAATCCTTGAACTTCATGGAGATTTTGTTGGGACTCCTCTGAGATATTCTAAACGGGACTTCACCGTATTTCTCTGATAGTTGGTCGATTGTCCATGTCTCACTGGCTGGCCAAGAATCAGCAAGGCCAGAGAGCAAAACCTAAACCATAGACAGGAACACAACATCATAAGAAAACTCTCATGCCTGGAAATGCGTAACAGAGCACATAATGAAAGGAAGTAAATTTAAGATCAGCAAATGAAGTGATTGGACTCATACAGGTTTCTTGGCGTCGTATTCCTTGGTAAACTCATCCAAGGAGATATCCTTCCTACGTTCCACATTCCCGTCATCGAAAGAGAATCCGTCAAGAGATGTGTTACATCTATAGAATCGTTTATACAAGTACAACGAATGGAATCCTGCAACAGAGAACCCAAAAGTTGAATGCAGATCCTGTAAAAAAACAAAAGGGCTAAATTGTGCAATCGAATTTTACCATCAAAATGCAAAGTTTTTCTGTACGCATCGTCATTTTCCTGAGTAACTCCTTCTCTGTATAGCAGAAACCAATCAATCACCAAAATATTCCAACATTAGCCAAAAGTCACAAAGCTAAAGCTAAAGAACATAAAACTTACAGATGCAAAGTCGTCTTTTTCCAAGAACCTTTGTATTCAAGAGGACCCTTTGCTCTTCTGAGACAAATACTCATCCATAGTGGTTCTTCGTTACACAGAATATACATGACACTGCAGAACAAACCAAGAATTAACATATTTACAAGTAATTCCTGAGGAAATGCTCATCTGTTCATAATATGATCAAATGTCATGAATTTGAAATTTCGAATTCAATAACACAATTTGGCACAGAATTGGAACTAGCTAAGAATGTGAATTCAGCTAATTAGACTCTAGTTTCGATCAATCTGATGTTGATCGATGAAATAGTCAAATCTAGAAAGAGATTTTAACAAAACCTGCTGACGCAGGAAAGTTGAGCGATATCTCGGGGAGCAAGGTATTCGAGAAGAGCGCAGATGGTCTCATCTGGGAGGACACTGAGACTACCGAGAGCCTCCGGTCGGCGATCTCTCTGCCCAAACGCCGTCGTTGCGTCCATTTGCTAGCTTCCACGAATTTCGATACTCTCTGGGATTCAAATTTTCGGCCTTCTCTCAGATATACACCTCGACGCGGCGGCGCGTGACGATCCGAGTCTCGTGTGGTCACCGAATGCGCGGGATTTTCGACGGTAAATGCCTTCGCACGTTCTACGCGTTAATGTTATCGAACTTCTGATACGACGTCGTCTCGACGACCGAATCTGATAAAGAAGAAATCATGGCGTTTAGCTTACGCCAATCGTTTTGTAACGGGATAAAACGCGGAAACGCGTTTTTTACGAAAAGAACAATTAAAAAACCGCAAAACTTGTAAACCTCGACGTCGCCGAGAATTAGAAACGGCACGTAGTATAAAGTCCCAAATCTGGATGTTAAAGCAATTTAATTATCTAATGTTGTTCTTAAAACACTTCTCAGTTTTATTTAACAATTGACTTTGAATATTTGTACAATGCAGAAGGGAAGTATAAGGAAAATTTCCTGAGGAAGTTTGTTTGCAACAAGCACCCTTAATTGTAGTAAAAGCTTCATTATATGATGTGCCTATTGGGATGAAGAGGATTGCAGGAGACTATGAGTACATTAATCAACTTAATGTGTCGTTCGCTTCTAAACTTGTGACCAATGTTTATGACATTGGCGAAGAAGTTGATTTGATGTGCAGCGAGTATGGCGGATGTACTCTGGACGACATACATCACTCCTACCACAGTTGCTGTTGTTAAAAGGCAACTGAGAAAAAGTGTCAATTCTCTTTCACCATCAAACATCAACATAATGAGGTTCGTAATCCTCCATTTTTTTTTATCATTGGTAAATGTTAAACTACACTAATATCTAATCTAATCTCTTGTTTTAGGGGTATTGTCCACGGTGTTGATGACATGCATAGCAAGTATGTCATTCATAAGAGTACAACATGAGTCTATCGAAATTACTCTACGCTGGTTCCAAAGTTTTGCAATAGCATGGTTATTTTCTTCATGTCATGTCATTTCGAATCACGGAGGCTATAGCATCATTCATAATATAATTACATTGTTTGATATTTGCATGTTTATTCCAAGTAAAATAATCACACATTATTTTGAGTGAGTTCTTAAACTAAACTTTATTCTTTTTTCAAGTACTTTTGGGGACAAATCTGTATGGATTGATTGCACATAAGTTGTACAAGGATCTCTCACCTACTGTTGAAATCTACACAACTATCCTCAACAGTACATATGTTCCAAAAAATTCCAAAGAGCTTTTCTAGATTAGCTAACTTTATGACATAGAAACTAACACAAAAATATGCTTGTTAACTTTATTGATTATGTTTTAACTCAATTTATCAAATTGGTCCTGTTTTGGAGTCAAATGAGGTAAACAAAAAAACACTTGTTTTATGCAATTCTCTAGATACAACAACAGAAATATGCTAAAGCACTTTCAATCAATTGAAAAAGAGAAAGATTCAAAGAGAAATTCCAAAAACGCATCCTTTTATAGTCTGCAAATACTGCAATTTGATAAAGATACAGTGTAGTCATGGATACAAACTAAAAAGATGAAATCTTATTAAGTAAACATAGTAGTATTATCGACTAATTCATGTAATAAATGTCAAGTAATCAAACAGCTTCCGGATTCTTAGACAGCAAAAGCCTTTTGAGACTTGATCCGTCTCCTTCTGAGCCGTTCAGCAACGAGGAAAGCAAGCTCAAGAGACTGCGAAGCATTGAGACGTGGGTCACAATGCGTGTGGTAACGTGATCCCAAGTCGTCAAACGTCACGGTCCGTGACCCACCAATACACTCCGTCACGTTCTGACCAGTCATCTCCAAGTGTATACCTCCTGGATGGCTTCCTTCTTGCTCATGCACGTCGAAGAACGCTCTCACTTCCGCCTATTAAAGCCATTATACATCATTATGAGTTTATGGTGTGACATTATCCATCGATAAAACATACCATGTGGAGTTGAAAAACGTACCAGGATGGAGTCGAAAGGACGAGTCTTGAGACCGCAAGGAGCCTTGATGGTGTTGCCATGCATAGGATCACTAACCCATGTCACGATATGTCCAGCGCCACGTACCGCTCTAATCAGATGAGGAAGCTTCACACGCATGTTCTCTGCACCCATTCTTGTGATTATAGTTATCCTCCCAGCTTTATTCTCAGGGTTTAGAATCTCAATCAGCTTCACCAGCTCAGCAGGATCCATCTTGTTACTCACCTTAACACACACACACACAAAATCAAAAATCAAACATTGAAACAGTTAAAGATGATGAGAGACCGAACTAATGTGAGACATACTTTAATACCGAGTGGATTGGCAATGCCTCTAAGGAACTCGACATGAGCGCCATCGAGCTGTCTGGTACGCTCTCCAACCCAAACCATATGTGCAGAGCAATCATAGTAAAGGCCAGAGGTTGAATCTAGTCTTGTCAGTGATTGTTCATAAGGCAAGAGCAAACACTCATGAGACGTCCAGAAATCAGTTGTCTGCATTATAGGATGGTCAAGCGTTAAACCAGCTGCATGCATGAAACCAAGTGCCTCATCAACCCGGTTCGCAAGTTCTCGATACCTAACAAAAAAAAACCAAAATCAAAATCTACCAAACCCTAGACTAAACATTATGCTAAGTTCTTGGGGATGTTAAGAGCAGAGTACCTGTCTCCTTGCTCGCTGTGCTCAGCGAAATCAAGATTCCACTGAGTGACTCTCTGCATAGCGGCGTAACCACCGGTGGCAAAGGCTCTGAGGAGATTCAGAGTGGCTGCAGACTGGCAATAGGCACTGATCATCCTCTGTGGATCAGGGATCCTTGACTTGGCATCAAAGGCATCTCCATTGATGTTGTCTCCTCTGTAACTCGGCAGCTTCACGCCGTCTCTCTCCTCGAATGAGTCTGATCTTGGCTTCGCAAACTGACCAGCCATTCTTCCCACCTAAACCAATGCGAGACTCTCAAAATGTCAATTCACTAGAAGTCTAGAACAGAGCTGTAGAGTGAATAAAATGGCCGGAAAAAAAGTTGTTACCTTGATGATTGGAACTTGGCCGCCGAACATCAAAACGGCACCCATTTGGAGGATGATTCTGAAGGTGTCACGGATGTTATTAGCGTTGAACTCCTTGAAGCTCTCGGCACAATCTCCTCCTTGAAGAAGAAATGCTTCTCCTTTGGCGGCTTGACCTAACCTCTCTTCCAACAATCTAGCTTCACCGGCGAACACGATCGGAGGGAACGCTTCAATGGTCTTGAGCACCGATTCCAACTCCGTTTGATCTGGATAGTCTGGCTGCTGCAGCGCAGTCTTCGCCTTCCAAGCCTCCGGAGACCATTTCGCATTCTCCAATTTAACTCCGATGGACTTCTTCACCGCCGCCGCCGCGACAGGAGTCTTTGACGTTGGATCGATCTGAACCGCTGAGATCCGAAGAAACGGCGGTCTAGACGCGGCGGGGAAATCCGATTGACGGTGGCAGATTGCCGATTTGGTAGATGAATGATTCAAGCAGCCGTTCATGAGTGCCATTGTTTTTTCAAAGTTTTAGTGAAGAGAGTTGTTGCCACATTTAAATAGAGAAGGTTTTGCGTTTGGTAGGTAGACTTTTCTAAGGGTATTTTTGTAATTTAGTAAAATGGTATCTTCTGGGATATTCTGCTAAACATTTATTTTTGGGCGAATTACGTCCAAAATAGAAAAAAATTGTATTTGACTCGAATGACGATCGAATACGTACTTGTCTTCTAAAAAATTTCTCCGACAGTGAAAGTCAAAACTTAAACCACAACAATGGGACTGGACTGAATAGTTAAAAATTCTCCGACAGTAAAAGTCAAGACTGTCTAGTCATACTCCTTACTCTGTTTTTTTTTGTGTAAAGTCATACTCCTTACTCTGGTTGTACTGAACTACTGATCTGCCATCTGTAAAGCCTTCTATTATAGATACAGATTCTCGGCCAAACAAAATTAGCCATAAAGTTAAAAGATAATCACAAAAAAAAGTTATTTGTTTTGCGATAAGATGACTAGATATTTTTGTACTATATAACTCGGACAAAAGTTGTACTACTCACACTCTTTATCATCACTGTCTTTCTCTTCGGACAACGGCTCGTGACAACACCGCCATCGCCCGCAGACTCCTTTTTTCGCTTTTCTAATTCTCTTTCTCGCAACCACAAAAACAAAAATGGAACCACATGCCGTTTCCACCTCACAGAAACGACACGCAGTTTGCATACCGTATCCAGCACAAGGCCACATCAACCCAATGCTAAAAGTAGCCAAGCTTCTCCACTCCAGAGGCTTCCACGTCACTTTCGTCAACACCGACTACAACCACCGCCGTATCCTCCGGTCACGTGGCCCTCACGCTCTCGACGGTCTCCCTTCGTTCCGCTTCGAAACCATCCCCGATGGTCTCCCTTGGACCGACGTCGACGAGAAACAGGATATGATCAAGCTCATAGACTCCACCATCAACAACTGTTTATCCCCATTCAAAGACCTCCTCATCCGGTTAAACTCCGGTTCTGACGTACCGCCGGTTAGCTGCATCGTCTCAGACGCTTCCATGAGCTTCACAATCGACGCCGCGGAGGAGCTTCAAATTCCGGTGGTTCTTCTCTGGACTAACAGTGCTACTGCCTTAATCTTATATCTCCATTACCAAAAACTCATCGAGAAGGAGATCATTCCAGTCAAAGGTATGCATCGGTTTAGTAAATTGATTATGTTCTGATAATTCTCCATAACAATTGCAAATTTCTCTACCAGATTCGAGTCATTTAGAGACGGAGATTGATTGGATACCGTCGATGAAGAACATTCGGCTCAATGATTTTCCAGATTTCGTCTTGGAGACGGATCATCAACCTCTGATGCTTAATTTCATCAAGCACGTAACCGGGAGATGCAAACGCGCTTCTGCGATCGTAATCAACACCTTCGATGACCTGGAGCGTGACGTCATCTCATCTCTGCGATCCATTCTTCACCCCCGGATCTATCCGGTCGGACCGCTTCCGGTTCTAGAGAACCGGGAAATCGATCGGGAAAGCGGAATCGGAAAATTGGGATTGAATCTCTGGGAAGAAGAGACGGAATCTCTGGATTGGCTCGACACCAAGGCGAAGAACGCTGTGCTTTACGTTAATTTCGGGAGTCTAACGGTTTTGAGTCGTGAGCAGCTTCTAGAGTTTGCTTGGGGTTTAGCGGGAAGCGGGAAAGAGTTTCTCTGGGTGGTGCGATCCGGTATGGTCGACGGAGATGCGTCGATTCTTCCGGCGGATTTTCTATCGGAGACGGCGAATCGAGGAATGCTGATTACGGGATGGTGTCCTCAGGAGAAGGTGATCTCGCATCCCGCAATCGGAGGATTTCTGACTCACTGCGGGTGGAATTCGACGATGGAGTGTGTTTTCTCCGGTGTCCCGATGATCTGCTGGCCGTTTTTCGCCGATCAGTTGACGAATCGAAAGTTCTGTTGCGATGAGTGGGAGATGGGGATTGAGATCGGGGAGGAAGTGAAAAGAGAGAAAGTGGAGGCTGTGGTTAGGGAGATTATGGATGGAGAGAAAGGAAGTAGGATAAGAGAGAAGGTGGTGAAATGGCGGTGCATGGCGGAAGAAGCTTCGGCGCCACCGTCTGGTTCGTCGTACGTGAATTTTGAGACGGTGGTTAATAAAGTCCTCAACGGTCACGATTAGATCGGCCTAATTGGGCCTTTACGTATTTAAAGGCTCTGTTGAATTTAAAATTGCTACTCTAGAAAGGGCCCATTTATATCATGACAAAATAATTATGTCAATTTTCATCTGCCAATTTTTAGGCTCAAGCGTCATTTGAACTGTGTTTAAAATGAAGCTGGCTTAAAAGAAAAATATGAACAAAATCTAAATTCACAACTCTAAAAGATATCAATAATATATATTTTCTCACCTGTACTATGTAAAATCCCTTGTAATACAAAACATCTTATTTGAAACCAAATCCTAGTAAATGATAATATTACAATTGTCATCAAATTAATGTTTTTTCTTTATAATTAATTAGCTAATTACATTTTTTGGTTATTAGCAAAAGTACTCACACATATTGAGAGCTCCTTGCAGAAATGAAGGTTTGTATGAAATGCGCATAAATTTTACAACGAGGTTACCTTACAGAATTCCAAGAGTTTTTTTAGGTTAATATGATTTCATGTTTCTAAACTTATATCAACATTGTTCTTTGGAGCTTTGATTATTAATTTATTATTCTACATGAGAACTTGTGGACTACTAATATTTGGGGAGAATGGTTGGCTCGAGAGGCTTGACAAAGTCTTCAAATATCACCTGGTCAAGCGACGTGCGAAGGATAGCAATCAGGGATATGAACACAGTGCTAAGGAACTTGTAACAGTGATCAGAAATACACAAGCTCACCATGGCTAGCTGCCTTCTAACTTGAAGGTAGGTTCTTCTCTCTTAACTGACTAATTTTTGATTGATTCTTGTTTTTCTTCTTACCTATATCTTTCTTTTTCTTGCAGCCGTTATTGGGGTCAAACCCTCATGGTTTGTATAACTATTTTAACGATAAATTCTCTCGTCTTTTCATGGAGGTGTTCAAATCTGTTCAGGATGTTGACGGTGATGACGTTTTGGAACTCGACCCATATCGTTTCCCCAAATTCCCACCTGAACCTCATGTCTAGGTTTCATAATCTATAGTTTTTTCATCAGTACAATGTAAATTCTCTTGTCAAAAAAGAAGAAAAAATTAAATATAAATTCCTATACATATTGAAACTCCCAAGAAAATGAGAGGATATGAATTATGAAGGAGTAAAGAAGATACAGGAGAAAGCAGGAATACGAATCATAAGATATGGCATAAAGTTGGTTATTAGAAATATAAATATAAATATTGAGTAAAAAAAGAATATGAAGAACTCAATTTTTTATATATTCCGTCAGAAAAGAGAAAGAACTATGACAAGAGTATAAAGAGATAGAGCCTTCTTTAAGTTTTGCATTCTTGAGTGGTCTTCTTGGGGCTCAAGTCATAGCTCTGGTTGATAAATAAATGAATTAGCAGTTTTTTTTTCTCTTAAGGGAAAGAGAAAGATGAGAGAGAGGAAAAAATGTGAAGATTGTACAATTTGGGGAAATGCAACAGATCAAGAAGAAATTGGTTATTTATCGTTGCTGGTTGTGATTTCAGGTGCGGTCGTTGCTTCGCCTTCTGCTGATACTTGTTGTGGTGCTTCAGATTCTGGGAGAAAAAATACCATCACATAAAATTAATTATAACAAAAATATTCAGATAATAGTTGCAGTTTAGTCTGATTTCTATGAATAATTTGAGAGAAAGTTTAATTTGATCAAAAAGTTGACAGAAAACCAAATGCAATGATCACTGTTTTGTTTTAGGCACATACACACAACATACTGTCGAAAACATATATGTGTGTGTAACAATGTTGTCAGTGTATGGTGGCTTCACTGGCATGGCGACCAAATTGACAGATGATGGTGAAGAGACACATATACCAATGTGATGAACAGACAGCTCACTCCACATGTATCCTTTTATTCACTGTTCTCTCCAATCATTCACTATCCTTTTCTTTTCCATTTCTTCTCATGTTTGGATTCATTGGGTCGAAAACCCAAATCCCCATTTTTTTTTGTTAGCGTGCATAACAAATTTGTTTCTTTTTCGAGTTTAAGACAACACAAACGATCAATTACGTGCATGGATTTATTTCAACACGTGACCATGAACGGTGCCGTCTCATAAGAGCCCAAATTTTTTCTTTTTAAAATTGATAAAACGGTCTAACAAAGACACAAAGTTAAGGTAAGACCAGAAAAGAAGACACAAACCTTACTTAGCTTATCTTACTTGGATCATAAAGTTTGGAATTTAATATCATATTAAGGCTAAGTGAATTGACCAATATCATTTATATGTATCATGTATGTTAATTAGTCTCATTTTATTTCATATGTTACAAATAAGAGAAAAACAAAAAGAGCTTGAAGGAGATAAGTACGTACCGGTGGAAGAAGAGAGTAATGGAGGTGGTAAAGAGGAATTGGATGGGTAAACGAGGAAGGAAGGAGAATTAAACCGTTGATGATGATGTTGAGGATTATATGGTTGAGGAAGGTGATGATGTTGGTATGGTACTCTAGGAGCTTGAAGAGAATAGCCGTAATAGTAAGGAGAAGGCATGATGGTTGCTGATGATGATGATGGTGATGTTGCTCCTCCTCCATATAGCTGTTGCTGCTGTTGATAGTACTGTGCTTGTTGCAACTGTGTGTTGTACAGTGCCTGTGGCATGTACATATGTGATCATCATAATTCATACATAACCGATGCCTATATGTTTACAACAAACATGCATGTGCTAATGTTTTTCATGCATTATGTAAGTGGTCGACATGTGCAAGATACGCAGTACGTAAAATCCATTATTATTTTTTCATATCTTGCACTTCATGATTAAATTCGATTTTGCTTTATGCTCATGCTGAGTATGTATATCAGTCTATGTCAGTGAGAGAAAGAGGGACTAACTTGGTGGTACCCGAATTGATCAGCGTTATAGGTGTACCTGAAAAAAAAAACGAAAAAATTGAATACTTCTCTCTAATTAAACAATATACTATAAAAATGAGATTGTGTCCTCAGAAAATAAATTTCATGGATGTGTATTATTGTGTTTGATTGGAAACATATTATAGAGAAAAAACCACTTTCGAATTTGCATCCTTTTACGATTACACTCTTGCACGATAACGGTTTCTCAACTCCGACTATAATTATAGACTATAGTATATACATTGCAGGATATTTTTGTATCTACATATATTTATGTTATGATATTTACAGCCTGACAACAAGTGGCTCGATTGGCGCATTAAATTGTCTCCTACCATTTCTATCGCAATGGACCATCTCCTTATCTATGCAAAACATTTACAAGTCTCTCTATAAACAAAACCCAAAAGGGTTTGAATAATTACAGGTATTTATTCATTTTTGTATTAAAAATATAGCTCACCCGTAGGATGGATACATGAGCTGGTGAGCAGCTGCAGCCTGTGGCAGCGGTGCAGCCATCCCCGTGTAAGCTGATGGTCCTCCACTCTGGTATTGACTCGGACTTCCGCTTTGTCCTCGTCCTATAACCAAATAGTAAACAAAATGATTCAAAAGACTATATACATTGCTAATATTTTAGATTTCACTGTTATTTCAGTTTTGTTAAGAATATTTTTTCAAAAAAATTTGTATCCTCAAATTTGGAGTGAATGGTTATATTTTTGTTGTATAAATTAGACTGCGCGCACATAACATTATTGAACAATGTACTTTATTCTAATTCCAACGAGTACTACAACTAATCTCTTTTAGTTTATATACGCGATCGAATACATTAGAAAAAAAAAAAAAAAAAAAAAAAAAAAAAAAAACAATTCTTCACTAACGAACCAAACCATTAATATATCATGATCGAATTAAAAACTCATCAAACAAAGTACTAATACTTTTCCTCTCCGAAAACTCATAAGGGAAAAGATTTTACGGAATTAATTAATTAAGGTTTGATTAGAACAAAACCTCGAGGTGGCGATGGTCGAGGCCGGCCAAAGGACGCAATATTACAATTAGCTTTTCTTCCGTCGATCACCGGATTAGGATCAGCGACGGCTCTCGTAGCAGATTCCGCCTCCCGAAATGTCACCTAGTTTTTAACGATCGGAGAGAACCATAAAAAATATTAGAAAACTTAGAAAAAAAAACTTAGTGACTTGAGAAAATTAGAAAACTTACGAATCCGTAGCCTTTAGATTTTCCGGTGTTTTTATCGGTGATGATGACGGCTTCAAGAATATCTCCGAACTGATCGAAGTAACGACGCATTTCTTCGGTTGGAGTTTCCCATGCTAATCCTCCGACGAACACTTTGGTGTAAGTCGTGTCTCCGAACGGTGATCGGTAATAGCTCGTTTGAGACATATTATTTTTTTATTTAATTATATGGCGTTTTTCCGATGATAAATACCCGATAAATAAATAAATATGGAAAATTGTGTCTGTCTAAAAAAATGAGCAATGAAGAAGGAAAAAAGAAAGTAAGAAAGAAAGAGATTTGGAATGGACAAAGTTGGCTACTTTATATCATCAAATGTTGTTTTTGGTTGGGCAAAGAGAAGAAGAGAGACCAATCAAAAGGTTGCAAAATGCAACCATTGAAACGGTGTCGTATTTGCCTCCGACCCTACTCATACGGAGAGAGAGAGAGAAGGGAAGAGAGGAGAGAGAAGGAACAAGATAGTTTTGGGGATGTTAAGAAATGGGATTGGAGGGTTTTGTAAGAAGAAGAAGAGAGAGAGTGACAAGGCAGCACTTGAGTATGTCCTCGCTGTCTAATTTGCCAGGTTTTAACATTATAGCTCCTCCACAACTTTTCTTCTCTCTTATATAATTAGAGAAATCTTCTTTTTGATTATAGCGACGTTCTTCTTGCAGTTTTTATTCAATATATGCAATATACTTTTAATTCTCTCTTATCTATCTATTAAAGTATATCTTAAGGTACTTAAGCCTACCATATATTGTTTCTGAATTCTGCTAATGTTTCACTAGTATATTAACTGTAGTTTTTAAAAGAATCTGAATGATGTTAATATTGTTATGAATAAACTTATTATGTTTATGTTGGATGCCTTTAACTAAAAAAAATGTTTATGTTGGATGCTACATTATCCAGTCAAAAAATTCAGAAACAAATGATAATATCTGACATTATTAGAGATATATTGAATATTTAAAAGTTTTTATATTAATTGTAAGAACTTTTATTGGTGATTTAGGAAAATATCTATGATAATATTCCTTAAACCACTATAGTACATTTAATAATATGCAGATCATGTCAAATTACAGTTGTTAAATAAGCTCAATATTTTGTTTTATCATTTCCCATGTTCTCTTTTGAGTTGGTATTTTGTTCTCTTCTTCTTGCTCGTCTCTGTATAGGTTCCGTGTGATACATATTACTGATTTAATTTCTTTTCACAATGGTATTAACGTACATATAAATCTTCGATATTTAATTAGATACATATGCTTTTTTTTTCTTTATTGAATAATGGGACTTATTCCTTATTCTCACATGCTAACATGCACTTAACCTTCCCTTTAATCATTAGCTTACTGGAAAGCTATGAACGGACGAAAAAAGAACAGTCTGGATTTTAGAATTACATTCTTTTTATTTATTTTCAAACAACTATCGGCTTCTACTTCGTGATCCTATAATCTGATTTGGGTATATAATCATAAAGGTGGACATGTATAGCTAACTGACAACCCGATGTTCATATTATATTTATAAATAAGATATGTTAACTGCACCCAATCATATTGTCAAAATGATGTAAAGCGTATATGTTAATGTGTGTGTATCAAATATGAAGTATTTATTTAATGGTTATAAGCCAAACAGATTTTGTTAACAGTTTTCATGATTAGTGGAAGTCCATTATTCTTTCCACCAAACCATAGGGAGAAATATAAATCAAAATATTGACAAAGGAGCTCTTGACTTTCGGGTAGATCCCTTTGACGATTTCTCATCTCCGTAATTACAACTATATGAAATTATAATTTTAATTATAAATTATCATGTAGTTCTCCTCCATATTTAATCATCCAAATTTAGTGTCTAGTGCAATATTAATCCATGGTCTTAATTATTTAGTGTGCATTATATATATGTGGTTTTCAAGCCACGTTAGTTGGTGTATATAATCTAAAGTTTACATTCTTAGATTATATGAGACGACTACCAAAAACACAAAAGATTATATGAGACGACTCTAACTTCATTAATATTCTCTCCGTCACCTATATACTCTCTTAAGTATTAGAATGAGTTCATGATATATACATATCGCCCAAGAACTATATGATGTGATATTGCAAGGCAGTAAACTCGGATTGCTATATATGATTATCTTACAATTTAATCGTACATGTATCTTTCATTGCTACTTCTATGTATTGAGTTATCTTCTTCTTTTTTTTTCAGTTATCTCAATTTTGAATGTCAAGTCCTTTACATAGCTAAAGTGTCCTTACCATTCTTTAAAAACAAAAATTAGTAATTAACAGTATAGTATTGTTTTTGACTTGTCAGATTATATTTAAGAAATGAAACGATACACACAAAACCTTGCCGTTTCCATGTTGGTCACATAATGAAGACATGATGCAGAACTATAAAAACATTTTAATCTTTGTTTTTTAGTTGAATATATCCTAGAACCCAAACTATGTTGAAAACTTGAAACAGCTAAAAACAACATCCGTACACGAATCGTTTATATCTAGCAACGGTTTAAATTTAACATATCGATCGACTTGTGACACTTGTCTAACTCTTTTGGTCTTCAAAATAGTACCATTCTATATATGTTGATAGTTTCCTTTTATCTAACATATAATCATATATGCTTATATATAGATAAAAAAAAAACATATATACATGTCGTAAAAGATTGCATCACGAGATGAGCTCATTGCCGAGCAGCTTTCATAGACGCACGCACGCACGACGACCATCCTTATTCCTCATCATCGTTTTTAATCCCTTTTATTTTATTTTCCCTACTAATATTAGGATGTACTTTTATCCTTAAATATACTAATATACACAAGCTCGAAATTTACAGTTTTACTATTATTATAATGTCTAAAATCTAAATGATCTTTACAAAAAAAATGGTTGTATACTCGATTTTAAAACAAATACGAAGACATGAAAAGCAAAGTGGGGCCAAAAAACGTGGCAAAGACGAGAGACAGTTGGAAGGGAAGTTTGGAGAGAGCTGTAAAAAGAAATTTGTAGAGATTCTGTGAACTGTCAGCTCCTTCCACGTGGACTTCCTGTCACACTTAACTGCTTTCAAATAACTTGTCTCCAATACAAATAGTAGCGTCTAATTTATGACTATCAGTGATTAAGAAATTTTATTACTACAAAATCACTTTTTTGCTTGAACATTTTCAGCTTGAAAACTATATTCTGGTGGTGGTGCCATAATTGATCTCATAATCATTGGAATAATCTACACATGTCTCACTCGTAGAAGGTAGACCATATCATTTTTAATATTACATCATATATTCCATACTTCCATGTGTTTCCAAAATTATGCAAATTTTGAAACACACAAGTGAAGTTAGCAAGTAGATGACTTTAAAAAAATGGCGCGAGATATATGATCAAACTGAAGAATAAGAAGCGAATTAACAGATTCTTAATGTATAAGCTTGAGTGACATAGCATCTGGGGTGGTGGCGCAGTTGGCTAGCGCGTAGGTCTCATAGCTACTGAGTGATCCTGAGGTCGAGAGTTCGAGCCTCTCTCACCCCATTACCTTTTAACGTCAAATCCACACGGTTTTAACTTTTAACAAAATCTCTACTTATTTTTTGAGAGAGCCCATAAGATTCACATAATGGGCCCAAATTCTAATATTTTTCGTTAAGCGAAACCATATTTAAATTTGGGCCTTTTAAGGTTCGAAGGTTTTTCACTTTTTCTTCTTTGGAAACAACGAAGTGGGTCATCCATCAGTCATGTCATGGTCATGAATGCGTCACGAATCAATTATTCGAGAGATAAGAGTTAGTACAATCATCAAAAAAGATTAAAAAGCACGAAGATATTGTTATACCCATCCATATGTTTTCAAACACCTCACACATCACTCGACGATATGGCTCATTTATCAAAATCTCTCACTTCAACTCTCTCACATGTTCCCTAAGTTTTCGTTCGTATAAATTCAACCAAACGTTTTTGTTTCAGTTCCGAATGTTTTAAAATATTTCAGTTTGAGGATAATTGAGAGAGTAACTCGAAATTTCATCAGTGTTAAACAATAGTTAATGATTTGATTGTGTAGATAGATAGGAAAGGGTTTTGTTAATATAGAGATCCACATGCAATGGCATGTGTGCACATGAGGAACTCAAGAGAGTGTGACATTGTGGCAATGCCTTTTTTTATAATATCTGACGTGAGAGAGAAGAGAGAGAGAGAGTAACCCCACCAACGTTAAAAGAAGTCACATGGAATTTCTTGTTAATGAATTATTTTCATAATTATTCCCTTTGAGAATTTTGCAAAAGCCCCTTTCTTATTTGATATATGGTCCATCACATCTCTCCCATTTATCATTTTTATGATTTATGCCTTCCATCGTTTTCTGACGATAAGTAGTATATACATTTTCAAAATTGTTTTGTTATATTTTCATCTATACAGAGAAACATCTCTCCCATTTATCATTTTTATGATTTATGCCTTCCATCGTTTTCTGACGATAAGTAGTATATACATTTTCAAATTGTCTTGTTATATTTACATCTATACAGAGAACGGATTTATATAGAGAAACTTGAATGCATATATGTAAGTCCCGAAAGATAAATTCTAAGCAATTTCAACAGGAGGGGACAAAGTTGGATAACCATCAACTTCTGGAAAACGAGATGTCGACTTTGAGTTAAAAAAACTTGGATTCGAGTGGACAATAATATAATGAAGCCTGTAGTCGGACCGCTGGATATTCTTATCTTATGTATACATCGAACAGTTTTACAATATTGAAAATAAGTCTGATCTTGTCGCCATTAAAACGTAAAAGAATTCAATCTTGTCTTTCCCACTTACGAAATTATTCCTCCGCAAACTGTAAAGATTGGTGGATTTGGTGTCACTTAAGGCCAAGTTAGTAGAGGAAATTAAGTGTAAGTTTCTGTCAAGAAGGTTTTGTAAGTGACAAAATAGAACATCCACTACATCCATCATTTTTATGAAATACGGAATGCATTTTATTTCATGCAGTTGGTGGGATTTTCTTGTTCTTTTGTTGATATCCGATATTCATCCATACTTCTGATTTTAAATAAATAAAATAACTGAAATCGCTGAAAAAATTAGT